AAATACTTTATGAAATGTTAATTATTATTATTTTAATTTCTTCATCTTTTTTTTAAGATTTGATCTTTATTGTTTTGATTATTATTTATTTTATTTGAGATAATTTATGAAATTATTTTTTTTAATTTTATTATTATTCAACTTTTAAATTTGTAAGATTTATTCCTTGTTATTTTAATATACTTAAGAAAAATAAAATATTAATAAATTATTTTCCAGTTCATAATCAAATACTGGAAAGTGTTTTCCAGTTCATTTTCTATAACACTGCCAAATATCGAAAAATACTTTATTTTTAAAGAATTTATTTTCTTAAAATTTATTTTCTAAAAGGAAATAACTTTCCTGTAAACAAACGGGTCCAAAAATATATTTTTTTTGAGAAGTGAATAACTTTTTTTAATCAGTTCAAGGAATGTAATTATTTTTAGGCATGGGTACTTACCTCGTTAAATTCAAGTTTATCAAATATACTGTGAAACAATCCTTCTATAACTTGAAAAACAGGTTTATATTGTTTCCAAAGTATTTTTTAGCTATTGACAAAATCTTATTTCACTTTTTAAATATTTTAAGTCATGGATATTATTTTTTATATTTTAGATATAATTCATGAATATAAAGCTATTAATATAACAATGCTTAAACAAAATTAAAACACACGTGTCTAAAAATTAGTGTTAAATAAAGAGATATCACGACTGCCATTTCTAGACACCATTATTAATAGGGGTTAGTACAGTTTGCATTCTTTAAACCAGATACAGTAGCTCCACCGGTGAATTTAATGTGATACAGAGATACAAGTAGAACTAACAAAAGTCTGTCTGATAAAAATGCTGCCGTGCTTTAAAAGGGAACAACTTGGTTTCTTTTTAAAAGTATTTTTATTTTTAGTATTGTCATATTAAATTATAAAAAAATTTAAATTTAAATTTTTTTCAAGTAAAATACATCCAAAAACATAAAACCCACCGTACTTCCATAAACACCGAAATAAGAAGCGGGAGCTTGAGCTTCCAAGAGGACAAAAATCCATGCTACTGGTTTGCGGATCGTCGATTATAATTCTATTTCCAATAATTATAATGCCATAGTTGTTGTATCCAATTTAATAATTAATTTAATAAACAGTACAGTTATTAAATTACTGGTTAAAATATTATTATTACAGTGATTGACATGATCAATTAAATCACTAAAAAATCTAACTGGGTTAATTAAATATCACAGATGAATATTTTTTCCTAATTTAGTTTGAAGTTTAGTCCAAGTTTGGTGTGTTGCAAGTTTTTCGGCTATTTAATGACCATCATTTTAAGTGCAAAAAAATAAATAGATGGAGTGTGGCAGTCATGTCTTCTTAAATTCTCGCCGTTATTAAAAATAATACAGGCAGTGTTTGAAAGCACTAGCTAGCTAGTGCTTTTTAACAATTATTTTTTGTTAAAAATTTAGTATTTTATTACATTTTAAATTATTTTGATATATTGATTTTAAAATAATTTTTTTAAAAATAAAAAATATTATTTTAGTATAAAAATTATTTTAAAAAGCAATCAAAACTATACAAATTATAAAACACATGACTCGAAATACTATAGATTATTATCTAGTAACCCAATCCTATGATTTGAAACTTGAATTTTGAAGAATTGTTTAATTTGACTTCAGTTTTTTTTTTTGTTTTTTTTTTTTGGATTATTCATTATTACACTGCCGAGTCTTTATCTTTGTGAGTTTCTTCTCTCTTTTGTCTATGACTTGGTTTAGATATCATATTATAAATCATGTTGTAAGTCACGAGTTGCTCAATTTAATTTAGTTTGATTTAATTTTTTTTATATAAAAAAACTATCATTTCATCTTTAATTATTTTGTTTTCTTAGGAGCTAACCTCCATTGTTTTGTTTTTGTTTTTACACGAAGTTATATTATCATCATAAGTTGGTTGTGTATTTTACATACTAATTATATTTAGTATTTTATTTTTTAGATTGATTTTTTAATTTATTTTTTGGTATTTACTTTATTGAAGGTTGAGTTTCACGTGTTTACAAGGTTATATTTATTTTTTATTTTGTTATTAAATAAAATTATTCTGTTAAAAATATTTATAGATTGTTTTTTTATAATATTAATAAATATGTTTTTTAAAATGATTGATGCTAATTTATTCTATAAACATGTTACTGAATTAATTTAATTTATCTAATATATTCAAATACTAATTTAAAAGCTCTGTAATCGCCTAAATATTTTAATATTATATTAACATCACCCACAGCGCACCGTTTACCACCTCTCGAGTAACCTTCATTTGCTCGCCGGTTTCATTGTCGCATCGCTTCCTTTTGTCTTCCGAGGACACACTGCCACCGGCGACATGGAAATTCCAGAGACGAGGTTGAGTTCCCCGAAGAACATCCCCACCAGCCTGAATGTTCTTACTTTCAAATTTCTATCTGGTGGGACCAACTGAATCCTCGAATTAGATAACAGCGGGCTTGATTAGTTGAACTTTCTATACATTTTTTCTAAACCGCAGCTCAAAATTCCGATCCGGAGGACAACCGGTCCTCCATGGGCATACTTTAGGAACCGTGTAGGCAACTACCTCTAGGAAAACGAAAGCCCTTTTTGTTGTTTTCGCCGATAAAAAAAAAAGTCCACACTCCAGTGGCCAACGGGCACCTAACCTTTTGTAGGTTCGGTCTTTTTTGTCAAAGGTCTAGTCGAGAATCTGGGCGTCCATGCCTCGTCGAAGATGTGTACATGTGACTATGACCTTAATTTTTGTCAAAACAACAGCATGACTAGGAAGGAGCTAGCGACATTTAACTAACCGTGCTGTTCTGGTCTGTTCATTATTTTCCTGTTATTTGTATTTGGTATTATATTTGTTGAGCATATGGTAGGACCAAGACATTAGACACCAAGTGATCTGTTTCCACAATTAAAGAGTATAAAGTTTAAATATTACAGGAGCGTTTCGTTTACAAATCATCAGCCGTATTGGGCGGCCAATAATTCTCTTGGTGCAGTTGTTGGGATTATTTTTAAAAAATATTTTTAATTAAGATATATTTTTTTAAAAATTTTAAAATTGAAATATTAAAATCATTAAAAAATATCTAAAAAATATTAATTTGATATTTTTGTAATGATATAAAAAATAATAAAAAACAAAATCTACCATAAAAATAAACCAAAATAATTAATAGCAGAAAATAATGATCATAGACTATGAGGATATTAGGTAACTTATATTATTGTGTTTTTAAAAATTTTGCATCTTTTTGTTTAAAATAATTTTTTAAATATTTTTAGCTAGTTTTGATGTGAAAAATAATTTAAATATATTTTTAAATAAAAATATTTTAAACCGATAGCACAGTTGTCCTTGACCAACAAAATTTTGACATTGTTTCAAGCCACTTTGACTGAACATTTTCTTCTTCTTCTTCTTCTTCTCTTGCAATTCCCCGTGAGGATTTTTTACCGTGGGAAGCACCAACAAAGATGGGTCACCGTTTCTGTTAAAAGCAAAGGCCGGGCTGTACTTTAGTCATAGCTAAAAAACTACTGGGCTTGCAAATCAGGACAGATCGTTAATGAGCCTATCGAAATACAAATACTCTTTAATGTGCAGAGGCTGAAGTATTTATGGATGAACAACCAACGAAATTTATTTTCCACCATTCCTCGCCGAGAGTGAATCTTTAAGGACGTCGTTTTGATTAACATTCAAGTTGACTCGAGGATCGAACACAAAGAACTAGTCTCTGCAAAATGTGTAGCCGGCAGTCCAGTAGCCATTAATTCCTACAGATGTAATGTTATAGCAGAGGATGAAAGCAAGTCATCCTTGCTGCAATAAGCACTCCAAATTTCTTGGACGCAAGAACGTGTAACAAACAAAAACAACTTTATTAACAAACTTGTCAAGCTACTACTCACAGTGAGATGCCACAGCATTCAACAGATTTGCTGGATCTCGGAGATGGTGGTTAAAAAAACAAAAGGAAGGATAGATATATCTACAAAAACACCTCATTATTCAGCTGTCTACATAATCCTCACTGAATTCATATAAATGGACCACCCATTCATTTGATTTCTTTTATTGTAAATTTAACCTGGAGAGTTAATTAACATCCTGGCTGAAACAGGATCCTTCAAAATTGTAGAGAGGGGTAAGCTAGTACTTAAATCCAGGACTGGATAGAGTAGTTGCATTTGAAGGTGTTCACACCCATGTGTGCAAAAATATCAGAATCAGTCACACCTTCTCCTTTCATTGCTGGCTGCAGGGTAAAAAGAAAAAAGAAAAAAGGGAAGCAAGCAAAGAGAGGATTAAATAGGCACGGACGTTTACCAAAAGGAAACATTTGTTGAATGCTAACAAAATGTTTTACGTTGGAGATGAAAATAAAATAAATAAAATCAAGAATCTTACTCCATCTTCATGACGGCCACAAAAAGTCCTCTGGATGTCAACAAAATCATCATTCTTTGCAAACCTTCCTCTGACTCGAGGCCGGCTGTCTGCCAGTTTTTTGCGGCAGGCGTACTGCGTATTTGCTCAAATCATCAGTGACAAATAAAAAAACGCATGTTTCATTCTCTTAAGGCATTGCATGAAGACAGATGTGCACATGAGTGATATGAGATATCTACTAACACTTTTAATCATGATATCTCATAGATAGTGTTCTGTTTTTGGGAGAAGAGAGCACCTTAATTTTCTTGCAGAAATTCCTCTCATTTCTTTTCTTCATGTACCTATGGATTTTCTCCTTCCTTTGCTCAACTGAAAGTTTGCCCACCTTGAAAGTTGAAACTTCCAAGCTTGAAATATCTGATGTTAAAGGAGCAGAACTCACAGGCCCACCATCCAGTTTTGGAGTTTTATTGCCGAGTGCCTTCCAAAGACAAATTATAAAGAGAGAAGAGAATAAACACGAGTTCCTCCAAGAAGAACCATATTTAAAGTGTACATGCTCTGCTATTTGTGCCTAAGAAATGCTACAACCATCCAAGCAGGTAATTTTGTTGTTGAAAAATTAATAGTGTTCGGCTTCGAAACTCCGTTTATGAAAGATAGGGAGGGAGCTAATTCAATATTCAGGAGCGCTCTTTTGGTTCATCATGATAAAAAATTCTTACTTCTCACTTGGAATTTGCTTTCTATAGAACAGTAAAGGTTTTTCAATTTGCTACTTAACAAATAATAATGATAATAATATAATTCTGCATGTATTCGATGTATTGCTAGTACCTGCAGATCACCAGGGTTAAAAACATGCTGGAGGGAATCAGGACAGTAAATGCCACCATTTTCACCCCGATAATCCAATTCTAGTGGTTGCCATTCAGAACACGTAAGAATACCACCGTCGAAAATTCCAAAACTGTCAGCAGATAATGCGGCATTCATGGTCCCAGCAAGCATGCAAGTACTCATGGCTGGACCAGGAATTGAACAGGTAAGTGACGATGGGTTCAAAGGCTCATAAGAAGGAACCGAGGACAAGCAATCTTCTTCAAAAACTGATGGTAATGGATGCCCCATGATTGGGGCAGCAGGGTCAGCAGTGTACTGTGACAGACCATCAGCAGATACAAAATCTGTTAATGGGAGTTGTGGTTGCACCGAAGAGAAATCAAATTGGTCATTTTGGGTAGAGATAAATAGAGGGACAGAAAAAGTAGAGGGAGAAAAATCTATAGAAGCAGAGAGTTCACTGCCAAGCTCATCTTGGGAGTCAAATATTATGGACAGATTACTAGTGTCGATGTTATTTATGTTGTTAGTATTGGCAGCTGTATTTGTAGTGGTACTAGTAGTGATGGTGATAGCCGTTGTGGTTGTAGGGGTCGTGCTGTTATAATTGCCATTGTTATCTTGGCAGCAATTGGACTTGTCTATATCTGGTGGCGATGGAAGATTGTTAGTGTAGGAAGAGTTCTCATAGCAGCAGTACGAGCTAGAAGTGACTTCTGGCTTTTGCAGGGTTTCTCGGAAGAACTCAGGGTCACAGAATTCCAAAATTTGGCCACTGACTGGGCTTGGAAAATCGTCCTGTAAAATAGTAAATCAACAATGTTAAGATCATTAATTAAAACAAGTCATGATCACATGACTACTAAGCTACAGCACATACACGCAAACCAAGCTTGAAGTTTGATGTTTTCCAGCTACGATTCAGATTGACCTTTCCTTTAGGCATACGCCAACAATGATTCTTCATCGTTTGCAACATGGTTCGGATCTAATTCTTAATCTTGGTCCAATGTGATTGTGATCTATTCCCTCAGGCCATGATATGATAAAGACATGCAACTTAAAAAGGCTAAAATTCCCTAATCAAGCTGAATTTATGCATATTAATCATCAAGGATAGAATGAGAGTCCATAATAATTCACTCGTCAACTGTGCTAGAAATACAAGGTAGCGAATGATACTCTCCTTGCAAAGTAGTGGGGGTAATTAGACATCGGGCATGGGGTTCCAATTCTCTGTCCTTACTCTATATATATGTATCCTTGACCAAAATGGAGCAGGGGCCGGGCCGGGCGGGTTGCCGAGGGGAAGCACCTAGTCTAGCTCATGCAAGTGCGGCTACCAAGTACCAATCTAGTTTCCATATTTGATCATGAATAAAAGAATAATATCATATAGTAGATATCTGATTATTATAAAGTAGAAAAAGATGTGTTTGTGTGCCACCATGTGAGATGCGGGAACTAGGGCACCCGAGATTAGCAAAAATACTTCATAGCATTAGCAAGAAGGGTGTCCATGGCTTTTTACTTTCACTCTCGTCATCTAGCAATAGCCGAGTTCAGGCAAAACATTCGGAGATGAAAGGCATTTAGCTAGGATAGGAAGATCCAATATGCTTTCCATGTGAGGTTCTATCATTAATTTGGACCTTACATCAATCCTTACTAACAAGAAAAGAATCATAGATTAGATATTCCTTGAACAAGAAAAGAATCATAGATTAGATATTCTATGAAAACATTATGGAAACATTATGGTCAAAAAAGTAACGATTATGGTCAGAAAAGAATCATAGATTACATCAATCCTTACGGACTCATATATATTCTCTAAAGATCAAATTAGTTGAAAACATTATGGTCAGAAAAGTAACGATTTTAATATCTACTCCGGCTGATGGTGCCCCTTAAGACAGTGGCAATTATTAGTTAATTAGATCGCATGTTTGCATAGTACGTGAGTATTAACTGTGGCTGGCGGCCGGCTGCCAGCGGCCAGAAGCATATGTATCATTGAAGCAAGTATTATGATCATGGAAATCGAAAGGAGAGCTGATCTAATTTGCTACTATTTCTTTAATCTCTTTCTCGTAGTAGCAATGCATTTCCAACTCATATTCAATCATCAAGAAGACTAATTGCATCTACTTCTTTGGTGCAAAATCTCACTCCATTTTGAAAGCGAGATTTTGGAGCTCCCTCTCTTCTGATCTTTATCTAGAAATTAAGAGGCCTTGTATGAAAGATCCAACTCGATTAAGAACATAATTAATTAAGTACCTGTAAAGATTTAACCAGCCGCGAAGAGAAACCAGAAAACATGAAACCGTGCTCGAAAACATTGCACAAAAACTAAAAGAAATGATCTGCAGCTGGTGTTCACACAAATTGAACTAACATATACTGTTCAATGCATGCATGCATTAAACAGTAAACAGACCAAGAAAAGAAAGAAAGAAGGAGACTCACAATAAGAAGCTGCTCCGATGGATGAGCCATGTCCTCCAACATTGTATCAGAATTTCTTGATTGAGGTAAGCTTCACGTATTCCACAAGATCAAACCTGAGAATCAAGCCTTAATTAACTCCTTTCACACACCCTCAAAATAGCACCTAGTGATAACATTAAAGAAGAACTCTTTTTAGATGACGATGATGATGATGATTATATATGGTAATTTTCAAATGTTGTTTAGCTAAAATTAACGTAACCCCATACTCCATTAAAACCCAAAAAAAGAAGATAAAATGAACAAAGGTAAGGGGAGAGATAGAGAAGGTGAAGTAATAGTACTTCTATGTTGAGAAACAAGGAGAGGATTGTTCAGAGGTTTTTTTTCCTTTTCCTTTTAGCTAAGAACAAGGAGGTTGTGGGCTGTCCTCAAAGTTCGTCACCCGCAATTCTACAATTTAAAGGAGGTTTTCGTGATTTGTCCGTACACTCAACTTTGTCTTTGTGTCAACCCGACACAAAAGGAGGACCTCAAGTTCTTTACTTCTTTTGCCTTGCCGAGGTTACATATAACCCTGTGAGGTGGTGAAACGTGGCGGTTCTAGT